ACCGGGATGATGTGTCAGAATATGGATCGCTCGTGAAGGATTGCCGATCGATGCTAGAGGAGAATAACAACTTTAAGATTGTCTTTACTAGACTGCTACTAATCATGCTTATCTTATGACCTTTTATCATCTTCCTTATTGTATTCTTGATATTATTAATAATGAAATGAACTAAGTTATTCCTTTCAAAAAAAACTCTACGATGCTTACTATTTAACCAACTGTACGGTATAGGCACTCGCCTTTGACAACCTAAATATATACTCCGCACGTATGTGGTACGTATGTTGCACGGGGGCAACCAATTTGCCAACGATACATGACTACATGAGTTCATTATTTTATTGAGCGGGCATGTCCCACTAGGCCACCACACTTTGGCCAAGGGGTAATTAATCCGGAACTCATTAACAAGTTCTGACTTCTAAGACTGGAACTGGTCTATCCTTAGATGTACGTAATAAACATATATACATAGTGAAGTAATAAATACTATTGGGTATGAAACAAGCAAGGTAGGTAGGTAACGAAATGCAATAGTACGTACGTACGTAGCCGCCACGTAGTTTGTTTTGAATTACTATAGTTAAAAAAGGATCACACCTCATTCTTGAGTGCCCTCAACACTGACCGGACAATACGATGGGATGATGTAAATTAGACTATAATCACAATCTGACAGATAGAGAGTGACGCTCCATCCCCGGTACTTGCAGGGGCCCTATGCATTTTTAGCATAGTAACCTTTCATCGCAGTTGCCGGGATTCGAACCCGGGACCTAACCCTTGTGGCACTCCCTCGTTACCAGTTGAGCTACGCCCACCAGCAAACTAAGGTATGAGTAAACTTTTTATAGTGACTAGCTCCACCGCTTTCACGCCCCCTTACCCCAGATATTAATTACTACTAGAATCAATCGACGAATACGTTTGTTAATCGTTGATGGTTTCACAAGTAAGTAACTTCGGTTTATTAATGCACGGTCGTGGTTAATAAACTTAAAAGGGATTAATTTTGTTAGTTAAACCGAAACCGTTGTGTTGAGGTTATCAATCTCAATATATTTCATCAAGGAGTTAAGAGATTAAATGCTACTATCAAGTCGGTATATGGCGGTGTTCTATACTTGACTAATAGTAAGGGTTATTAATGAACGGTCGTTGTTAATAACTACCCTCGATGAATTGGATGTACTCCTCGATTGAGTATTCGAGAGGGGATAAGTTATAGATATAACAATGATCGACTAAAATATATCAACAAGTGGAAAGTAGCAATGTCAAGTCCTTTTTATCTTTGAATTAAATCTCATATAAGTCGTTCATCTTCGTATTTAATTAAATTAAATTAAATCACTCAATCCCAAAACCCCCCTTATTTACTAGTTTTACTAAAAAGAGAATTATTCTTTTCTCTGTGGATACGAACTCTACTTCACCTATACTACGTATAAGTGCTAGTATCGAATATTATTTTGACGCACCGTGACAAAGTACTCATCAGTTATTGACATCTTCTAATAGCTCTTCCCATCCACTTTCTCTCAAATCTTGAAACTTCTCTTTGGTGCTTTTAATCAAGCACACAATTCAACCTCGAGAATGTTCTGATCTTTTTGTTGCAAGAAATGTGACAACATATTCGTCAATCTCAATACCTTCTTCATTAAGTGGGCAATAAAAATAAATTGGTAACTCTCAATTTTTTCAACCAAGCTACTAGCTTTGACCCTTGATTTCGAATCAGTTCCATCATCAAATATATTGTCAGGCACTTGGATTGTTGGAGACCACAAAGATAGAATACGAATAATGGTTGTAAAATGTGAACCCCATCGAGTAGCTCTCGGCCGTGCTAAAGTACTTTCTTGATTCAATCCTCTCCCGGTCGTAATTTCACCTTTTTCTAACATGTCTACCATGTTTTCATGTTGTTTTTAGCGAAATTCATCTTTTCTCTTACAAGAAGAACCAACCATGTTAGTAATCATGGACAAATATTCTAAGAAATCACTCACAAAATTAATTTTTTGAGAAACAGCCACAACAACTAATTGCAATTGGTGAGCAAAACAATGAATATATCTCGCATGTGGATTTTCATTCAAGATAAGAGTCTTCAATCTATTCAACTCACCTCGCATATTAGAAGCTCCATCATACACTTGGCCTCGAACTCTAGACATTGATAATTCATGTTTTGAAAAAAAAGTCATCAATGCCACTTTTTCAAGAAAGTGCGGTGGTCTCAACAACATGTTTAACCCCAAGGAACCGCTCAATCACAACTCCATGGTCGTTCACTTATCTTACAATAGCTTCATCAATCAATAAAGAAAAGAATTCATCACCAAGATCATTGATTATGGCTTTGGTTGTTTGTGATGCGCAAGCACTAATAATATCCTTTTGAATCATAGGACTAGTAAGTTGGTGATTTAAAGGTGCATTGTCTTTCATCACTTTTGCCAAATTGACATTGCGTGCACTATACCATTCTAGAAATTCTAAAAAATTCCCTCTATTTAATGAGCTTTCTCGCTCATTATGACCACGAAAAGCCAATCATTGTGCAATTAAAAATCTAGCACAATCCCCACTTGCATTCAAACGAGTGCGGTATGCGGCACCCAACAGTTGTGTTCCTAAAGAGAGACTTCTTGAAATACTTTGTCTTTGATTTTTGGAAGAAAAAAATTGTGTTCTAGCATCATTGTGCTCACTCTCTAGACATCCCACATGATCTCTAAATCTTTCAGAAGCTTTCTTCCAATTTCAGAATCCAGTCCTCACAAACATATCATCTCCAAACATCTTTCCTTCTTCCCCATGAAAAAGGTAACACCAAAAACAAAAAGCAGCATCTTTAGAAATACTATATTCTAACCATTCCCAACTTTTAAACCACTCTCCTCGAAAACACCTTAATGTCTTTCCAAATTTAGTTCATGGAAATTTATGACATGATGGTTGACAAGCACCTTTAACAATATATTCACTCATCACATCATCTCTAACTCCCGGCGCATATTCATTGATTGGTTTCCGTAAAGCTCAGGGGCGTAGCCAGGACACTGGGCTAGACTGGGCCGGTACAAAGAATATTATTGGAAAAAAAATTACACGAAATTTTTTACACTAAAAATATTGACATTTTTCAAATTTGGGGTGGGCCAGGGCCTAGCCTGGGCACCCCCTAGCTCCGCCCCTGGTAAAGCTGGATCACTAATAATATCCCACTCATGTGTACTTTCTGTCCACGCTCTCTTGTCCCTCCCAATCTCATTGCTCTCATCTATAGCAATATTTTCATTATTTGGATTCGACGCACAAGTATTTTCAACACTAGAGACAGATTGATTAGGAACGGTTGAAGAACTAACCCTTCGAATCAAAGACCTCTTTGTCTTAATTACAAAGTTATCCAAACTCATTCTCCTAAATGTAACAAAAATAAGTATGAATTAAAGATGTTTCTAAAACTAATAATATTAAATTACATCAATAATTGAGATTGGAAAATTCGCACAAATAATTTTTGCTAGGGCTTAGAACAAATAGGGCAGAAATTTGTGGATGAGAAATTTACCTGAAAATTGGGAATCAGGAGAAATATAGAGAGAAATAAAGGTAAATTCTGCTCGAGAAAGGCGAGAGAGGCCGGAGGGTGTGCGCTGCTTCGTCCGCGGCCTGTTGCATTCTCCAGGAATGTGTTATTGTTCGCTGCAAAGTGGGAAGCGGTGTCTACTGCTTAGGTCTTGTATTGTTTTAATGTTTTTATTTTTTTAATTTTAAGGTTTATCACTTAGGCTATGTTTGGCAGACATAAGTCCCTGTCTTCTAGCTTTTTTACTGTTCAAAAATTCTCTAAAAACTTCTAGTTGTATGTTTGGCATGACAATTTTTAAGAGTTTTTCAAAAGTTAAAATGTCTTTTTTGAGATGCTATAGGGAGTAGCATCTGAGAAAAGTCTGTGACTTTTAGTACTAATTAATGTTAACAGCTTGTATATCAAACAGAACTAAATCAAACAGTCATCTTTTTACCAAGCTACCGCCTTTTCTTTTTAAGGGCTTTTCAGTCACTAAAAACTAGCAGTTACTAAAAAGTCTATAAAAGCATCTTTTCAGCTAGTTGTGCCAAACATACCCTTAGTGCCTTAGCGGGTTTTGACTTTTGAGAGGCCGTTTGGCAACACTGTTTTTCGGCTTATCAGGCTTATCAACCAACTTTTTCACCAAACACGTAATTTTTGCTTTTGCGCGCTGAATTGTGTAATAAGCAGAAAAAGTAAGGTTGGAGTTACTTTTCAGGTTGTATTGGCCGAAGTTACTGTAGATGATCATTTTAGCTATTTTTACACATAATTTTTTCTTTATTTTATTAATGAAATATGTTTTAAAAATAATTTTTTCTTAAATCAGCAAAATCAGCCAGTCCAGCCAGTGCACCACTTCAGCCAGAACTTCATAAATTTCAGCAAAATCAACCAAATAAGCCGATTTTCGTGCTACCGAACAGGCTATGAGACTAGGAGTTTGTTTTAAAAAAAATCGGTGGAGTCCGTTTCTAAAAAAAATGGTTGGAGGCTGCCATGCTCTCTTTTTATTAATTAAACATTACATTCTTCAGTTGCTCAATTATACTCCGTTTTATTTTATATTTCATTTTTGGACTATTTTTTTTATTAATTCCATTTTATTCTATTTTAATACATAATCTAAAATTAATCTTAAGTAGTACTCCCTCCGTCCCGAAAACAACTTCCCACTTTCCTTAAATGGATGTCCCAAAATTAACTTCACACTTCAATACTTTCCTTATTTGGCAAATTATCTACATCAAAAAAGTGATAAACAGTGCCAAACAGTGTTTAAACAGTGCCAAACAGTGTTTAAACAGTGCAAAACAATGCATTCCACAGTAAAGTCAAATTTATTTCCTAAAAGTGTGTGAAAGTGCAACCGGGAAGTTGTTTTCGGGACGGAGGGAGTACTAATTTTTATTACAAAAAGAAGCGGAGGCGCTTGCCCCCATGCCCCAGCCCACCTCCTCCACTGATTACGACGCGTCCAGCCACTGGCCAACGGCGAGTGCAAGACCACCCCTTTGGCAGTTCGTCCCTTCTCCCGACTAACTCCAAGTCCAATCTCCATCTTGCAGGTAAGCGCTGTTGTAACCTTCAATCTCAGAAATTTGTTCTCACTTTATAAATTGTTAATTCTTTGTGCAATCCTATTACTACGTATCATTTAATAATCGTGGGTTTGTTGATTTAGTTTCTTATAATGCAATTTTTACAATTATACTCATATTACTTCAAGTTTGCCTAGGGCGAATGCAGTGGTATGCTCTTGTATCATCAATTGTGATTATTATCTAAATGTGAAAATTTATTACGAGTACAAGGTTTAAACCCAATTCTGATGATTTGCTAAAACTGAGGTTTCAGAATAGAAATGGCATTGGACCGGAATCAGAACATTACAACCATGAACTAAAACCAGAACTTATATTACTAGTCTGGTTCATTTATGCTATCAAATGGGGAGGACCTGAATTGCATAACCCAATGGAAACAAATATAAAAGTTTTAAATGGTAGAGAAATTGAAGATGGTGTTTCATTGAGAAATGGTTTTGTTTTGTGGAGTAGCAGCCTTTGTGTTGACATATGTGGAGGAATTGACTAAGCAATTGCAATTGGCACAGAAGACGCTCCCTCCCTATACTTTTAATTTGTCTTTTCTGTTGATATATGTGTTACTCTCATTTCTGAGTTTCTTCGTGGTTGAAGCATTTTAATTTTTGCACAGGGTTCATTTGTTGATAAAATGCAGGTCACATTAATCTTAAAGCCTTGTTCACTGTCCCATTTCCATTTTATCATTGGTAACTAGGTAGGTAGTCAAAAGGATATAAGGAAATTCAGCACCTTTCCCTTTATTTGTCATATTTTATTTTTTGAGTCCATTGCATACTAGTGTGTGCGTGTGTGCTTAAAGTTTTTGGTCCAAATGGTTGTTTTAGCCTTTTAGTATGGTTCCGAAATCATTCCTAGTTTTGAATAATTCAATCACAGAAATCCAACAAGTTTTTGGTCCAAATGGTTGTTTTAGCTTTTTAGTACAATGAACACCTACAATTTCAGGATTATTACCATAATAGCATGAAGACCTAATCACTTTAATGACCATCTAATCACTGAACTAAACTCCAAGACCTTCCATTACTACTACACCTAATGTCAGTTGCTTTTCAAGTATAGCAAACAGAATAACATTCTGCATCCTTACATCCACTTGTATAATAAAGCAATTATCACCTCATTACATTTTCTCTTACACTAAAGTGATGTTCTCTTCAGCTTTTTTGTTTTTTCTTACTCCTTGTTCGGTTATTCTTATCTGCATCCTGCTACAAGCATTTCTCCCTGAGCATCTCAGATGATAACTCCACTTCAAGTGCTTCGCTGAAATCTCCAAGAGCTTATATTTACTTCAACATGTGGGTGCGTAGGTTTAGCCAAAGTCTCTACCCAATCAGTTATGTAGCATGGTTTATCATTTACTAGGAGCAGACCTGCCTCTTTGCATTTAGGGCTGGCAATATCACCCGCACCCGCGGATACCCGGTCAACCCGAACCGAAAATATGGATGAAAACCCGAAGAAGTATGGATGAAAAATGGATGACGGGTGGATCGAAAGACGGGGTGGATCGGGTGTGGATGAAGGCTCATCCAACCCATCACCCGACCCGTCACCCGTTCCATCCACCCACCCGCTGACCCGCATATAAGTATATAATATATAATATATATTATATCTATTTAATAATATATAATAATAATAATAATAGTAATAATAGTTAATTGGATAAACAAAGATAATTGGAGAGCTTCAAGAAGTGGCAGTTAAATAGCAAAAATAGTTTTGTGCCGATGCATAAATGCAGAATTTAACAACTTGAAAAAGTTTTATGTCTATTTTGATTAACATTCAGTTTTTTTCTTTATCATTGGCAGTGAATTAATGATTGTAATATACTTAATTGCTCATGTTTTGTTGTTATTTTACAATGAATTCTTAATTTTTGGTTCTTAATTGTCATGATTTCTCTTTGTAATTTATTTATTTTGTCTCAAGTTTGAACATTTATATTTCACCCGCTACTCACCCGATCCACCCGATAATCCGTTCAAGATGGATGGGTTGGATGTGGATGTAATTTTTAATGGATGATGGACGGGTGGGTGGAGTATAAAAAATTAACGGGTGGACGTGGATGAGCCTCCACCCGGTGAAAATCCGACCCGCTGCCACCCCTATTTGCATTTCATCCACCTCGTCCCCCCGCATCATAGTATTATACTTCAACAACAACTACAACAACAACATCCAAGCCTTAACCTCAAAAGATTTTAGGGTCGGCTAACATGAATCTATCCATGATATCGATGTCAAAAGGAGAAGACAGACAACAAGAAGAAGGGAAAAAACAAAAAACAAAAAAAGATAAAATGATTAAGATAAAGATAAATAAATATAAGATAACAATAATATAAGAATATAACAAAGACAAAAGATAAAAAGATAAAAGAGCATTAAAAAACTAGAAGATAAAAATAACATAAGAACATAAAACGATAAAGAAGATAAGCGATAAAAGCAAACGAGCGAGAAGAAAGATAAAAAAGAGATCAATCGTCCCCACAAATGTGCGCCCTCCACTTTGCCCTCTCCAAAGTCATACTCTTATCCAACCCAAGAAGACACATATCTGCTCTGATTCCTCTAATCCAAGTCTGTTTGGGTCTTCCCCTCCCTCTCCTCCACCTCTTCTCCTCATCTTTCAAGTCGTCTAACAAATGCATCACTTGGTCTTCTACGCACATCCCTAAACCACCGCAAACGAGACTTCTGCATCTTATTTTCTATAGATGATATTCCCACCTTTTGTATGATTATCTCATTCCTCAAGCGATCTTTTCTGGTATGTCCACACATCCAACGCAACATACGCATCTCTGCCACACTCCTCTTTTAAATGTGACATTGTTTCACCGCCCAACACTCTACGTCATACATTAGTGCAGGCCTAATTGTTGTTCGATAAAATTTACCATTCAGTCTAGTCGGCATACCTCAATTGCATAAAAATCCTTATGCACTCTTCCATTTCATCCACCCAGCTCTGATTCTATGGGATAAATGTCCATCTAATTCACTATCCTTCTGAATTATGGAGCCTAAGTAATGAAACATATCACACATCGGTATCTCTTTACCATCAAGAGTAATCCCACTTGTGCTACTACTTCTACCTCCACCAAACTTGCACTCCATATACTAAGTCTTGCTTCCGCTCAGTCTGAAACTCTTGGTCTCCAGTGTTTGTCGCACTACTTCCAACTTTGATCTAACACTCGATTGTGTCTCATCAATCAATAGAATACCGTCGGCAAACATCATGCACCACGGTATATCTTCTTGAATTGACTTCGTAAGTTCATCCATGACTATAGCAAATAAGAAAGGACTCAGAGTTGATCCTTGGTGTAGTCCGATAGTAATAGGGAACTCCGCAGTCCTCCCTACACTAGTACGGACACTTGTAGTACTAGCCTCATACATATCCATGATGATACTGATATACTTACGTGATATGCCTTTTCTAGTTAAGGCTCACCAAAGGACTTCTCGAGCTACCCTATCACACCAGGCAGTATGGCCATGTAAATCCCATTTCAGGTTTTTACTTTCAGCATTTAACCACTAGGAAATCAGATTTTGTTTCAGTAGTATGTAAACACCTTCTATCATGCAATATCAATCCAGAGTGTTGCCATTTAGGATATACTATCTACTTTACAGCTTCCATAGTTCCATATCTATACTAATACTCTAATCCCCTGAAATCATTTACCAGTTTATCAAGCAATCGTGTGTACAAAAAGATAGAGGAAAAGATATGAATAATTATTACATGCATAAGGAGAGAAGTGATCGAGAGTTTGGTAGAACCAGAATTCACCCCTCTTCAAATACTTGCTGCTCTCCAGAAAGGGGCGCTGGAGATGATGAGATAGTACGACGTCGTTTGAGATACCTGGACACAGCAGAAGAAACTGGGTATCAGCTTCATGCTGCTTTTGTCCGGTCCTCTTCACCTACAGCTACGTTCTTCATCGCTGAACCGCCGCCCATTTTACGCTAGCTCCGTCAGCACCATCTCCACCGCACCCTAGATTTGCCGTTCGTTTTATCTCTGTCATAATAACCTATGCCGTCAAAGTACAAATCGTTAGCATAAGGACGCCAGTGCACATCATTAAAATTTGAATTAAGATACACTCCAAGTCATTTTATTGATGTATGTTTAAATTTCCCACCTGTGTTAGAGCCTTATTTGTCAAGCAAATGCACCGTACCCTTCCAAACCACAGAACGACCCTTTTGTTTTTGCTGGAGCATATGGAGAGTCGTCAGAGTTTAGATTAGATTCGCGGCCAATGAATAGATTAGATCCTGCTCCATATAGCGCTGCTTTGCCATCGCCGCATCCTCCTCCTTTGCCGCCTTCCAGAGCTTTCTGGGAACCCACAAATGTGACCGATCGCCTCAAAGAACTACACGAGACTATCAAACTCGCCGAAGCTCTGTAAGCAATGTTCAATATTTAAATCTGTCTCTAAACCCTATGCTGCTCTGTTTGTCATCAGTCATTTCTTCTAACCACCCCTTTATAATAGGGAAAAAGAGCTAGAGGTGATTGTTAGGGGAAAAGCTATAAAAGGAGATTCCGAGGGTTTGGAGAATTTGGCCACACCCGATGAGGGGTTTTTCAAGTTGCTATATATTAATAAAATAGATTTAAAGTGCCAAGAGTCGCTCTCATTGGAAGCTGCAAATGCGTTGATATCAAAGTTGAAAACTCAGCTTGAGCCATTTCGGGATGTTGCTGATGATAGGAGTCCATGGGAAGAAAAATCCAGGGCTATCAGATTATGTGACCAACTGCAAAAGTACAAACGCAACAAACTTTGGAGGAAAAAGAAGAGAAAACGTGTTGCACAGAAGTTAGCTATGGTTATAAAACTGGAACATTTCATATACCTTGTTTAGTTATCTAGTTATTTCGCAAAAAAATGGTTGCAATTTTTTACTCTCAATTTGTAGGAGAAAGAGAAATTTGAGCAATTGGATAGAGAAGCTGATGAGTGGATGGCTAGGGAAATAGCAAAGGATGTTGCTAAGCAAAAGGTATGGTCATATGGACACAATGTAAATTTGCAGTCTCAATTGGTTATAGTCAATTTTTTCCTTCATTTGCAATGAAGCCAAAGACTCACTATTTTTTGGCTTGAGAATATGATGGAATAAAGTAAAATGACTCACTAAACTGTATGTGTTTCTTTGTTATGAAATAGCAGTCAATCCATGCATTTTTTCAACGCGATTTCACTATGGGTCATCCGGTAACAGTCTCTCTATGCTTTAGTACAGGGGTAAGATTGCGTACATCCTACCCCCTTACCCCATTGAAGGTGGGAGCCTTTGTGGCATTGGGGTAATGATGATGATGATAAATTGGCTATAGTCAATTAACTAAAGTATATGCTTGAAGCTTTTTTTTTTCAATTCAAATCCATAAGCCCCATTCTATTAACATGTTGTGACTGCTCTTAAGCATGTTCTTTTCGAATTACTTGTATGGTTAATTGGTTATTCTCTCAAGAATTGTGCAACTAGATGCTAATAAAACGATCACCAAATGTATAAACTGACTTAATGTGACATAAAAATGTGCACCTGTCATGGGTTTAATTTGTTAACCTGTGTATCTCATATTATCTCCAAAGATGAGAGTGTTTGGTTTGCTAGACATGGACAGTCCAATATTATGATGTCTTCTTGTGAACAGGTTGCGAAGATGAAGGAGATAGCAAAGCTGAAAGAGAAAGAGGAGAGGAAAACGTTAGGATCTGAGGTAAGCTTGGCCGACATGTAATAGACAGACACAACAACTAATCATTCCTAATTCTGTATTTTGCTTCCCTCATAGCCAATTTCATTCATTCTAGCCCCTCACCTAAATCGAGTAAACTCAGCCCCTTAGGAACATCATGAAGATAGTGTGTGAAGGATTGAATTGAGAATAATTTAAAATAACTGAGGGGACTGCATTATATGAAATTGACAAGAATGTTACAAAACCAATAACAACAAATGAGGGGTCAAAATACAATTTTCCTTTATTCTGGAGCTGTTTCTTGTGCAGAAATTATCTTTATCAATTAACTAACTTGCATTGTGAGAGATAAAAGTTGATTGTAATGGTACTGTTGTCTCTGGTGGCGGGCTTTTTTCTCTTCCGCAAATCTGGTAAAGCAAGTAACATACATGGAAATTTGTGATTTCAGCTTGAGCTGGCATTGATGGTGGAGAAGTTGCACGAATTAAGGTCCATCAGGATTCAGAAGTTGAAAAAACAAGGTACTTCTCTGGGATCTAGCTACATGCAAAGCATGTTTTTATCAGTCTAGGATGTAAGAGGATTCTTTTCTTTTTGGTCCTACTACTTTCAGTTCATCTCCATTTTGATCTCCATTTTGATCCTACTTTAAGTCCTTCCCATCCACTTATCTGGCCAGATTCCAGGAATAGTGCCTACCATCTTGATATGGTGCTGCAGTGCTGCACCCATTAACAACCTTGATGTTTAAACATTGAACCCTATGAATTAATGAGGCTCATATGACACTTCATAGTAGGTTTTTTGTTGGGCAAAAAGTCCAAAAATGGTAACAAAAACTGTAACCATGCACCATAAGTGGGAAAATGAAAATATTGGACAAAAGTAGGGGACTAGGGGTCACCGCGATAGTTGTGATATCAAAGGTGAAAATTTTCTAGAAATTTTATCATCAATGCTCAAAGGGAATGGTATATTTGGCATCCCTAAAAAAAGGACAAACTTATTTGGCATTATTATCACTTTGGTCGCTCAGCATGAAGACTTATACGAAAGTTATTTTTCCATGCCAGGACGGTTTCTTCCGGATGAGGACGACCAGTTTCTTGAGAGAGTGAAAGCTGCAGTTGAAGAAGAGGAGCGGCTAGCAATGGCTGCAGCAGGGACAGCGGCTGCAAAGGATGCCATAGCAACTGCAGAGGAGTCCAGCAGAAAGTTGGAAATGGGCCGCCGCAATAATAGTAATGAGAAGAATATCAAGGACAACAAGAAGAGCCAAGAGGCGGCGGCAGGAGTGATGACCGAACCCGAAGACAATAAACCAATGGAACACCACCGATGTGGAAGAAGCAGTAGTGCTGCTGCTGCTACTTATGTCTGCTCGCTTAATTTGCCAATGGAGTATTATCACTACTACTATGGGAGTAACCATGATATAGGTACCCTTGTGGAGGTTCGAAGAAGATGGGATGCTTACTTAAGGTCTGGTGGAAGTCGCATTCCCAGTCACTGGGTTCAACCCCCACCACCTGCTGACCAGATATGGGCTTCCTGCTTGCTCAAACCTTGATTCAACTCTACCTGAGAAGACTCCTCTGGGAGAACTCGTCTCAAACATTGTTGTATTGTTATTATTAGTATTGATGTTATTATTATTATTATTATTATTATTATTATTGTTGTTGTTGTTGTTGTTGTTGTTGTTGTTGTTATATTATTATTATTATTATTATTGTTATATTATTATTATTGTTGTTATTATTATTATTGTTATTATTGTTCTATGTGTGCTCTGTATTATTGTTGCTTTGTCCTAATAGTCCTCATATCTTTAACATTTTTGTTTCAGTATGCAGTCTATTGGAGTATTCATTGTAAACTTTTTTCTTTCATTGCTAGATTGTGAGCCATCATTCAACAAAAACTTTAGATTGGATTTACTCCGTATAAATTGGAAAAAACAGTTAAGAATTAAGACTGGTTTTCTATTACCATGCAAAATGCAATCAGCAATTAATCTCCTAAATCAAAATGTGCTTCAATTAACTAAACAACTCGATTATTAAAAAACCAAAGACTTGATGGCTTAGGTGACTCTGGATAGAGAAAAGCTAAAGAGAAATTGGAGCAATTTTAGAGTGCAATTGTTAAATTTAGTAGAATAGCAATACAAACATTGGTTGTTTTTTTCTGGAAAAAGCAATACATACATTAGTTGTATTCCTCCTTTTCTCATTTAGGAATGTGCTATTTGTAGGTTAAAAAAATAAGGCTTGGGTTATAAGCTCAGAATGCTAGTCAATAAGTGGGTGACATGTGACCCTTGAAAGTCTTGTGAATACACTTGATGGGGTCAGCCACTAAGGGTGGGTTGATGAAACCGAAAAGTGAATCAATAAAATAAAAAACACAAACAAAAGAAATTTGTAGAGGTTTAATCCTCACGGTTCAAGCCTTTAAGAGCCCAATATGTTCCCTTGGGCTTTCATTGGATTGAGACCATTGGATTATTTATCTTTTAGTGAATGGATTAAGTGACTATGAAGGAAAACACTACAGCAAGAACATTTGATGGACTTAAAACAATAACAGGGCACCCTTATCAAGCCCGACCCCCGACCCTCTATTCTACTACATTGGAAGAACACACAAGACTAGAGAGAGAAGTGAATACAAGTTGTCAACCGCAAAATGCATTTTTCGCCATAAATGGCTCTCTCCACCATAAAATTTTCCATATATAGTGCATTAAATACGCTTCTCACATTTTCCTTGTTTTCCCTCCAAATCTCCTGGGAAAGTAAGCTAAGTGCCCGCATATAGAAATCCAGTAAAATTTCCATGGAGTTCATACCATCCAGCTTGTGCCACCCGGTTTTGGGGTCTATTTCATTGGTCATTGGCCTATTAGACCGTTGGGGCATGCGATCCTGCCCCGTGCTAGGTCATATATCTTAGCTGAGGTCCCCCACTTATGATGTTTCGGGCGTTTCAGGGACATAAAAAGTAGAGAATAGAACTCATGCCTCTTTGCCCAAACGTTGTCATTCTAGGTGTTGATGTGACGGCTGTCCTTGCATTTCCCGAGGCCTTGAGGTGACAGTTGCGGCTGGCGGTTCAACTTCCGCCTCTGTGTGACACGTGTCCTGGAAGATGTTGTCACGCCCCCAGACCGCATCTGAGCACATTAACAACTGCTGCACAATCAAGTCATGTCGCCCTCAGGTCACCATCACATGATTGTACAAGGCGCCCATGAACTTAATTCATACAATACTCAGTTAGTAAACATGTTACAAATCAACATTTAATCAAACAAATAACGGAAATGATTCAGATGGAGTAATCCACTGGAGTACGGATGTTTATCATGGATGTTCATTTATTATCCAAAACAAGCCATTTATGGATATTATTAGGAGATCCTTGTCTCTCTAGTCCAGTTTCCTTTTCAAGTCATGGGGATCAGGATCAAATGAGTACTTCTTCCCTTTCTTTGCCTAAGCGAAGATATATTTCCAACCTATCAAAACCAAATAATCAGACTACACAAGAAATCCATTGTGCGGGTTTTTCTGGTTGGATCGTGTGCCACATACGGCAAAACGTGAGCTCGCAGGCTCAAAACAGTTTAAGTCAATCCAAAATATCCATGAACATTGTTTATCATTTTAAAATATGAAAAGGATGCATGAACCATGTCTTCCTTGGGATTACACCACCTGATGCAAAGGTGCAGGTATCAAGCTCAAATTTCAACCTGAGAAATGGTGAGGGCCCCCGAAAAGGTGAGTACATGTGTACTGGTGAGACGGAGGCTAAATATAGAATAACTAATGTTTAAAGCATAAGATCCAAAGTCCCAAACATAGGGTAATACATATACATATAGGTTTTCCCCATGTTTTGAATACATATATTAGTACACATTTGGAAAATATTCAACCCATAGGCCATTAGTTTATTTGGAAAAAACATGTTAGTCTTAAACCTTGACTTATTCATTCCCATACTCACCCAACTACCAATGAGTGTAGAGGACTCTTCCTCGCTCTAATGAGTATTTATGGACACCGCTCGGGCCGAGTTACTAACCCTATTAGCTTACGAGTTTTAAGGACAATTCTTGTCCTTGGGTACTCCACTAGTAGCCTATGCGCTTTGAGGACAATTATTGTCCTTGTATACTCCACCAATAGCCTATGAGTTTTGAGGACAATTCATGTCCTTGGGTAATCCACCAATAGCTTATGACCTACCACATTGCTCACTGAGATATGGTTTAAATCATTGATCTGATCATCACTAAGACGAAACCAAGTCGTAAGTCTAGGTGCATTCGGCAAGCCAAACGAACTTGCATAAACTGCCACAAGGACAACTGGCGCAGGACATACCTACCATCACTGGCGTGGGTCCCATACAGACTATTCTCGATTTCCATTTTATACATATATGACCGACACTGATTTGGTCTATTTCGGGAAGTCAACGACTTGTTAACCCCTCAAATCAATTCCAAACTAAAGAGTATATGTGAATTGGTGAATTTATTGGGAAGGAAAAGAGTGTATTTATAGGTTTTTGGGAGCTGCAGGGCCTGATACCCGACCGGGTATAGAGGATACCCGATCGGGTATCTTAGGAAATTTCCCAGAAAATCACTTTTCTGGGCATACCCGACCGGGTAAGTAGGCATACCCGATCGGGTATGGGACAAATCTTCACGAAAATTTGCTCTCACGATCATCTGTCTTCAGATTTGATTTGGACAATCGAATCAAGCAAATACCCGATCTGGTATTGCCTATACCCGACCGGGTACATGAGTAATTTTTCCAAATCGAAATCTTTCATGCCTCCTTGCACTTTCCTTGATCTTTTAGGGTCCAATCTTGATCTCTTGGATGATCTTCGACCTGTTTAGCTCAGAATAGTCCTAATCTAAACAAATTACAAATAATTATGAAAATAAAGTATTACACCAAAAGTGTGTAATTTCAACAACTAGAACTAATAAAAACTAGTTAAAAATACAAACATACATAATTGGAAATTCACACTATCAGGTCCAAAGGACCAACACACTCCTTTGGCTTTCGTAAGAGTCTTTTAGTTGTGTGTTTAGTTTAGTGGATTTTTAGGCAAGAGAATAGTAAGAACAAGCAAGTAATTAGAGGCAAAGTGGATCCAATTCTATATGAGGTCTATAGAAAGATTACAACACTTATGTGGAGTGGCGCTCCGACCCCCTAGCCCAACCTGAATGCTATAGAAGAAACTAGAGAGAAGTCTAATGCTTAAGAATACAAAGTTGTCAATCCTTCATAATGAAATATGTGTTGCTACTTATACTATAAGGTAATAGGTGGAGGGGGGTGACGTGTCCGACCCTGAATGAATGAACCCCAACCTTAAAATCTTCCATATCTACTGCATTAAATGTGATTCCAGCCAATTATGAGGTTTCCCGCCAGCTGCTTGGAGAGTTGTGTATGAGATGGCTGTTGGACCTAGAAGAGAAACCTAATTGAAGGGAACGTGTTGAGCGGCAATATCCGTGTGGGGCCGCCGAACGCCGATCCCAAATTGGGTATCTTGCAAGCGGCCCCGTATGCAGATTGGGCCTCCTAGGAAATTTGGGCCTATACTGGGTTGGGACCTAATATCCCAACACATGTTATGTGCGATTTCGAAGCACTAATTCCTTTTATTAAATAAAACAAAGAGGGATGTGCCTAGTACAAAAAAGTTTTCTCATGAAAAGTGAGGAGTGATATAAGTGTGACACAATGCTATACCTAAATTTGTAATACTTAATAGTAAAAAAGCATATGCAATATGTAAGGTGCACATTAATCTCGTTAAAAATATCACAAAACGATTTCTATAGTTATTATTATATTATTTCGAAAAGTGATGCACTTTTGGGTTAGTCAAATGTACTTTATTTTTTGAAAAAGTTCATAATATTTACACTTTTGTCATCGTGTTTTCTACTTATAAATTAATCTGGTCCACTTACTTCCTTGTTTTTTATGGCTAAGGTCTAAGAATACTTCTCATTTTTTATTTAAAAAGTACTTTATATTTGAACCTCCCTCATATATATTGGATCAAATAAAAAGTCATCTAACCATGAAAAGTAAGAATGACCCTGGTGCATCGTATTTTAGATCTAATGTCTCTAAATATATCAAAAATGCATCAAAGTGGACAAAAATGATCAGAAGTACGTGGATGACGAAAAACTTGTCAATGCAATAGTGCACCTCATATGACAAAAAGTGGAGCCGCTTTCACTTTACACGGGAAGACTAATATTTTTTAGAACCGGACCCTACACACACATAATTCTTTTCTTATTAATTCATGAAAAAATCCACTAACATGACTTCTGAAAAAGTGATTGACAAAATTGTGATACAGTAACTACTTCTATTAATCACTATGATGCAAATTGAACACAATTATAATCACTAATAATTAGTAAGTCATATTTGTGTTATGACTTTTTATTGGTAACATTAAGGAAAAAACTCTTAATTCATCAAGTTCTTCTCAACAGATATTTTATGTTTTGTCTAGATTCAATTCCAAGAAAAACTCAAAAAAAGGAAATAAGAAAAAAAAATGACTCAGCTAAATTGGCCTAAGGCTAAGAGAGCCACGTGAAGAAGGGCACCTAATTGCCAGAGCTCGGTTCTTCAATCTTCAGTCTTCTCCTTTCATACGAATTTGGGGCCAATGAACCAGACCCCCACGCCTGAATGCACCAAATGCGGTAATTCATATCTTCACAGCTCTGCTTTTCCCATCTTGGCACTTCAAATCTGGATATTTGAACTGGATAAGGCTATGTTTTATTTCGCGACTTAAATTCTTTGTTCTCGAGATGCATTTAGCTGCTCTGAACTGGTATTCCAAAAAAGTTAATGAATTTATGTTTTTGTAGATCAATTGCTTAATTAGCACCCTTCTAAGGCCCACACGATTGGCAAGAAATATAAAATCTACTTTAGAAAAAATGGTTCTTTGGGTGCTTATGCTTGGAGATGTATCTGTATTCTGTTGCCGTAAGACTTTTACTGCAAGAAAGTTTCTTTTAATTTTTGGGATATTTTGAGACGGAAACAGTAAAAAAAACCTAAGTGGACTGAAGGCTTATTAAGTGCTTACGGGAAGTCTATCAATTTGAGCTTTAGAAGAGCTGCTTTGGTTGAAGATTTGGGAAGTTTTGCTCAAAGGGGATTTTTAGCTGAATTCAATGCTTAATGCTTATTCAAAGAAAGAAAGACAGAAAGTTTATTAATTAATTAGGTTTGAAGTGATTTCTCGTTTTGATGGCTTCAATTAGAAGGACATTGTCCCCAGTGCCTAGGGCGGGGAGTCCTATGAACGGGGAAGCATGCCAACTTTCATCCTCTCCGTTGTCCAAGTCATCCTTGAGTAATCAGAACCATTTACCCCCAACTTTTATGTTTCCATCATCCATTGCTTCATTGGATTATGCATTGTTCAGAGCACAAAATTTTATACATGGTTTTATCTCCCATAGAAAACCCTTAGAGAGGTCAAAGTTAAGGGGGAAAATTTGGAAGAGATCCCTCCTCCATTACTTCTCATGCTTTGTTCTCGGGGTCTTTCTAGGCTTCACTCCTTTTCTTTCCCCGATTTTGTCCCTCCAAAAGGACGAAAAGGTCAACAATCTATCATTGAGAGCTGAGAATGTGGTGATCGTGGACAATTTGACGGCATCGGATTCACATCCCAAGAATAGTGTGGCGGTATATGGGAATGATGCAAATGTTCATTTCAACCAAACAATGGATTTCCACAAACTCTTAATAGTTGTGACTCCAACGGAGCCTCGTCCCTTTCAAGCATACTACTTGAATCATATAGCACATACGTTAAAACGGGTCCCACCTCCTCTGCTATGGATACTTGTGGAGATGAACTCCCAATCTCTGGAAGCAGCTGATTTGTTGAGGACAACGGGAATCATGTACAGGCATTTGGTTTGCAATAACAATAAGAATGTGACAGAAATAAAAAGAGACAAACTTGTACACATGAGGAATGCTGCTCTGTCGCACATTGAAGCGCACCGCCTTGATGGGATTGTTTACTTTGCTGATGATGATAAGACCTATTCTCTTCAACTCTTTCAGGAAATACGAGATATCAGGTTCTGTATTCCATGTGTTCATTCTTTATATACTATTAACATAATTACTGTTAAAAAACATGTTTGTGCTCGTTGCTGTGTTTGTCTACAATGCGAGTTTGTCCCATATGATGGTTTACTGTGGAACTAGTTCAGTTCTTCCGTATCTGAGTTTATTTCTGTTTTCACTCATCTTCTTCCAGCTTGCTCGTGCTTAGTCATATCGCGTTGACAAAGTATACAAATATAGACCTTTTACGTTATAAGCTAACTCTTATTAGCTTGCTAGAGTTTTGATTATAAAGTCCAATAGTTTGCATTTATCTGAACAACCATTTTTATGAGTTGAAAGAAATGAAAATATAGTAAAATCAAAATGAAAAAGGCTGTTGTATGAAATACATATGTGATGTTTTACATCCAAAGTAGGTTATTCTTTTCTAAACACAGTGTTTACCCATTATGTGATATGAATTAGCTTATTTGTTACATGACATTCATAGAATAAGATGCAAACAGCCAAACGCTAGTTGAGACTCAGTTAAAAAATGTAAGAATTCAGTTGTATGACTTTATTAATTAATATTGGTACCTTAAACCCGACTACAAGCTCATATGGGGGAGGGGGTTTAATTTTGGCTGAATTTGTTGAGTGAGCTGAGTTTTGCTGAAACTGGGGTGGAAAAGATGAATGAGATATTTAATAAGTTCATAGGAAATAATATCTAAAGTGCATAAAAGTGGTATTTCTATTTATTTCACCAAAAAAACTTCTAGAATACCTTTTTCTTAATTCAGAGATTCAGTCAAGTTAGTGTTTGGTAAAAAGTCTAATTGATCTTGTGCATAAAGCTAACAATAACTCAAACTAATCATTTGTGCTACCAAACAGAGTAAAGCTAAAAATCAGAGTAGTCTGTCATGACAAGAAGACACAAGGATCCCATAAAAATTATAATAAAAAATTAGGATATAGTTTTGGAAAACACGACATTCTACCAAGTCCTCAGAGAGTTCAGTTCCGTTTCTAGCAAAAAACATTTCAACTTTAATTTGATTAAAAAAAATCATGAGCCTCATTTACTAACAATTTACTCAAATATCTCTTCTGATTAAGAAAATGATATTATTGTGCTTTGGAACATTTTTCTCTTTGTAAAAATTTGCTTCAGCTCTCTTTATCATTGGTGATCCGGATTCCAGATTAAACTCCTACTGTTTCAGACCAAAAATGGTTGCTTAGAAATGTATAATTAGGTAGAATTTTTCTAAGAAATGAAGAATGCAGTGATTGTTGTGTGGACAGGCGGGTTGGAGTATGGCCGGTGCCAAGAATGGCTGAGAATAAAAGGCATGTTATCTGGGAAGGTCCTATCTGCCAAGGTAAAAAGGTATTAGGGTGGCACACTGATGATAGGAGGAAACGTATCCGGAGATTCCAAGCACAAGTGTCGGGATTTGCTTTCAATAGCACAATTCTCTGGGATCCTAAGCTGTGGCACAGACCTACGCTTCAACCCATCAGGCTCATTCATAGTGTTAAAGATGGCTTTCAGGTGAGTGAATTACTTTTTTGTTCTCGCATTTTTTGGTTTGAATACTGTTGATTTGATATAAAATACCCTTAAGTGACCAATATTCCCTTAGACCTCTGCTTTTCAGTTTTCTCTGCCCCTACCCTTACTTGTTTTGTGGTGGTTATTCTTCTCGAGTTTTACCATATTCTTTGCAGCATTTATCAATGAGAAATTGAGAATTGTTTCTGAAAGATCGAAATTTTATCATCGTATCATACTGAAGCTAGGCAGCTAGCACTGATAGCTCAGTTTGCAATTGCTAAATGATGTTTAGATTTTACAACCAACAAAATACATGCAACCGAGTAGAGTATAGTGTTCTCATAATATCATCATCCCACTTCACTTGTAACATTCTTTTAGTTTTTTTTTTCAATTTTCTGATAGAGAAACAAGGAAATACGTTTTCAGTTGCATATTTCCTTTTTTAGTTTTCCAAAAAAAAAAAGAATTTAAGAAATGATTGAGAATGAGATTTTCTTGTTTTCATTATTTTTGATAACATGTTTTCAGTTTTGATATTGTCTATAAAACATTTCATATTTTTTATAAGGGAAAATAAATTTAGATATTAGGAACTATTGGCTATGGACCCATTATATTTTATAATACATTCTATACCAAACTATTTCATATCCCAATTATTCAAATATTCAAATATATATCAAACCATCAAAAACTTATATCAAACTGTCAAATAAAGCTTATTCGATGGTTTGATATCATTTTCAATTAAGTTGCCATGTTTAATGTAAAAAAAGTAGGTCCTTAACATTTCTCGTTATATATTTGCAAGGTTTGGGTATGAAATAGGTAATTTTATAGCATGTAATGTTATGAGTTGAGGGACAATAGTTAGAATTATTTAAAGTTGTTTTTCGCTTTTAAGATGAATAGCGGAGTATAAACAGACTAACCAAATATGTCATACATTTTGAAAAGTTGAGAATCCGGAGTATAAACAGACTAACCAAATATGTCATACATTTTGAAAAGTTGAGAATCAACCAAAGAGAAATTCTGAAGGTAGATAACGTGAAACATGAAACATTACCAAACAAACCTGAAGAATCATGTTATGAAACATTACCTAACAGGCCATAGATTACCCTACATTCTCCAATTGCTTACATAGCAGTAATATGATATTACCATAAAATCTCATAACCTGAATCAAACAGGGCCCTCCTCTACCTCACACTCTCATTTCATCCATCTGAGTTACTCTCAATTGATCGATCTGTATATTTGTTCTTAGCTTATATATTCTTTATAATTAAATAATCGTGACCTCACTCTTTTTATTGAACTTTTGATGTAGTTCTTAGTTTCTATGTTCAATTTGCTTATATTAAATTATACAGAAGTAAAATATTTTCAGGTTTGTCTGGTCCCATAATTTAGACATAAAACAGGAAGGTGGGAGTAATATTACATACTTCGTATTTAATTAATGAGACACTTGTTATGTAATGTGGGATTACTTAGAACCAAACACACCTGCCCTCTCAATGAGAATGTTGGTATTCATAACATGAGTAGTTGGCATTGCGTTTGTGTAGTTATATGTATGAGCGGTCAGCTTCTATGTTTTCCATTCCAGGCGACTACATTCATTGAACAATTAGTGGAGGATGAAAGCCAAATGGAAGGTGTTCCGCTGAACTGCTCAAGGGTCATGCTATGGCAATTTGACATAGAAATGTCATATGCTAATTAACGAGAAATCATTCAACCACTACCCTTGTATGGCATGGCAATAATAAGAATGAACGTAATGTCGTTTCTTGATAGATGACAGCTGATTGCTGTGCTCCCTCTGCTTCTACTAAGTAAGTTTGTATCCACACGTTCGCAGCAGCAGCACGTCCAATACATGATGATATTCAAGCCAAGTCATTTCATTTGCCTAAACTTTATTACAAGCCCTTTTTTTTTGCTTTCCTAGGTCAGAAATTTGATGTTTTGTAATCTTTCTGGTCCTAGGGTAGATTTTTTTTATGTTTTATGATCTGTTTAGGGTGTGCCATTCACTTTGTTCTGCGGAATTCATTCGTATTATTTAATTTAGTAGGTATCCAAAAATATTCCTGAAATGTAATTAGTGGATAAAAATGTGAGAAAAGATACTATTAATATATTGTCATGGTCATTGGAATGTAGGATGAAATATCACGCTAAGATTATACACTAAAATCGACATCATAATTATATGTGATAGTCATATATCATACTTACTCCCTATAATATAGAATGACGATAGTACTTGGATTCATGATAGTATTATAGACGAGTGAATAGATTTAAGAGTACAAGTTTGGTATATTATAAATCCAACTATAAATTTTGCTAAGTTCTAGCTGAAATGGTTGGATTGGTTGATTTTGTTGATTTATGAAATAATTATATTAGGCATGGACTCGGCCCAGGTGGCCCGACCCGGAACCGGACCGGCCCAGCACTGTTTGGGCCCGGCCCGAACCGGTGGCCCGGCTAGAGACCGGTCCGGGTAGGCCCAGCCCAGGGGGTTTACGGTGCGGGCTCAGGTCACCCAAAAGACGAACCGGTTCGGGCCCGGTTCCGGGTTTGTTTTTTATTTTTTTTGTTTTTCAATTTTTTCTTTTATTCTAGGTTGGGGCTGGCCGGTTGGGTGTTTTGGGATGTTGGGGGGGGGGGGGGGGGGGGGTTAAGTAGAAAAAGCAAAAAAAAAAAAAATTCTAACAAGTCCGAGGCTCGACCCGGCCCGTACCCGGTGGGGTCCCGGGCCGGTTCCGGGCCTTCCCCCAAACCTCAAAAGCCCGACCGGGCCTAGGCCCGGGTCCATGCATAAATTATATACGTAGTATTAAATACTCTATATAGTTTACTAATAAAATAAAAAAAAAATTGAAAAATAGCTAAAATGGTACTTTAAGGTAACTACAATCAATTCAATCATAAAACTAACTTCTGTTGTAAAATCATGGGAATTACAGGTATGAATTATTCATCCTTGTAATCAGGACACTAATCTAGCATCAATCCTTGTAACCAACTTAGACCACATGACTCAATTTGTTATTGTCACCAAATCTGTAGAGTCATCCTTTAGATGACTGATCATCAAGCTCAACCACTATAAATAGGAGCTTGGTGAAGCCTTGTAAAAGAAAAAGTAATTCAGAGTTTTTATCTATATATCTATCTCTTAAATTTAGTCTTCATCTTCTCCATTTCACAACACGTTATCAGCACGAATCTGATCAAAATCTTCAACCATCAGTTTCTTCTTCAAAATCTCCTGCAGGTATTATTATCATTATTATACCCCTTATTAGTCCATGTTAAATTTTAAATCTGAAACTATAAAAAAAAATAGTTTTGTGAGTATACAAAATTAATACTCCGTACTTTTCAAATCCGTAACTTATATTCTTTTTACAATGAAAGAAATTAAGAACATACATGCCTTTGAATGATTGTTTTCTAGTCTTCCTGTAGCCTCAGCTCGTAGAAGTAACTATTTTATGAACAAGTCATACTACTCCACAATAATACTACGTAAAGCATAAGAAAGAGATATTACGTAGTTGTGTAGAAAAGAAAAGTAATAGACTGATCGTTAAAATGAAAGGAACGAAAGTAGATGGAGAAAAAAGAAGTCATATGAGGATGGAAAAAAATATAGTATTCGTATGTATGTTAGGGGTGAGCATCGGTCGGGTTCGGGTCGGGCGGGTTGGTAAACCCAAGACCCTGTCGGGTTTCGGATGGGTAAATTGGATATCCTACCCTATCTTTTTTTTCTTTTATAATTTCGGGTTTTCTTGAAATTCGGGTTGGGCGGGTTCGGATCGGGTTTCGGGTTTAGTCGGTTTAATATTTATAACAGTAATAAATAAATAAAAATGAAATTGCAGCACATTATTTGATTAACATACAAAATCCGAATACATACAAAAAAAGCAGATTAACATACCAATTTTTTTTTGACAGAACATTTTAAAATGCAGATTCAGTTGCCACAGAATATGATAGAAGTGTGCACAAATTACATCCAAAGTTCCAAGTATGCAAAAATAATGCATCCAATTATCCTTACATCCAAAGTTCCAACTTCCAAGTATGCAAATTACACAAAGTTCCAACTTCCAAAGTTCCAAGTATGCAAAAATAATGCATCCAATTATCCAAATGTCCAATTTCCATTTCTCAGAATCTCAACCAACCCACTAAGTTGCTTTACTTGCTTGAACTCTTGAAGTTCCACACCTCCATAGCTATTTTCCACACTTAAGTTTCCACCTGCATACAGATATAAATTAATGAACACATTGAATTGATTGAAACTTAAAAGCAATACACAAGGAGTACTCAAGGATAAGTTAATGAAATAAATAAGGAGGATCAGTGGCTCAGAATGCTTGTTATCCTTCACAAGGAATACAGGGGCAACTGCTTCAATTTCAGTTACAACTTACATGTTATGAACTGAAAGAGCATTACCAACCCTAAACCATACATTCAGTAATGTGTGGAAGCTTCATCATAGCCAATGAAAATTAATATAAATGATAGAGTCAAGGATTAATAGGATAAAGAGACACTTACTCAAAACCTGGAAATCAGGTCAAGTGACAAGGCCCAAGGGTCCAGGGACAGTTCACAGTTGGCAGCATGTGCATTGTTTCCATAATGACAGAATCATACTCATTCAAATGTAACAAGCACACAATACATTACACATGCATATAGGGGTTCACAAGTACAACAAAAAAATACATGTCAGCTACATTAGTACACAGTTCATGCAATATATTTAACAATTTAAGTATTACACATGGATACTGGATATAACATATACAGATAACAAATATACTTAACAGCTTCCAAAGTCACCAACATTTGCAATTCAGTGGACAACTTACACTTACCATTTTATGAAGTGAAACTCTGAAAGAGCAAGGGAAATAGGGGGCATCTGCTAAGGCTGACATTTCATAAAGCTCAGAATGCTTATTATCATTCACAAGGGAAATAGGGGGCATCTGCTACAATTTCATATACAACTTACAATTTTATGTACTGAAAGAGCAATACCAACCCTAAACCCTATATGCAGTAATGAGTGGAAGCTTCATCATAGCCAATGCCAAATAATAGAGCCAAGTACTCATGTTCAAACACATTGACATGAGAAATAAAGCACATAATTACAAAAATGTACAATAAATAAAAGAAATATGTACACTTATTGGCACAATAGAGGCTCCAGTAGGAGCAGAAGCTCCACCACCAACATTTCCATCCATGATTTCTGTAAGAAAGAAACACATTGTTAGAATTTAGATGCTTCAGAAATCAGAATAAGTAAATAAAAATACATAAATCTAATACCTTTTTCCAGCCTTTCAACATCATCAATGTTTTCTTCAACTGAGACAGGCTGGTGAGCCTTTCTCAACCAATCTTGTGCACAAATAAGGGCTTCCACAATTTTACAACTTAATGAACTCCTAAAACAGTCCAAAACCCTCCCACTTGTACTGAAAGTGGACTCAGAAGCAACTGTTGAAATGGGAACACCAAGTACATCCCTAGCCATTCTAGAAAGTATAGGAAACCTTTCACTATTTAACTTCCACCATCTAAGAATATCAAAGTCCTGATCTTCCTCAATAATGGACTCAGCTAAATAAATTTCAAGTTCAGATTTCTTAACTCCTAACTGACCACTCTCAAGCTTCTTCTTTTTAAGATCAGCCTTAAACCTGGACACAGGCCTACTTTCAGAATTACCAGAATCCATAGATGCTCCAGAAATAAAAGTTGAATTCTGACTTCCACCAACACATTCAGAATAACTTGACACATAATCAACAAATAACTCAGTTAGACCAGACTTCACTTTCAGAAAGAATTCAACACCTTTTTTTTCACCATATAAAGCATTCAGCTGAAATGGCATATACTCAAACTTGTCCCTAGGATCTAAGACATTTGCATAAAAGATAAGAAAGTTCATCTTCTCAGGATCACCCCAGTACTTATCTAATTTTGATTTCATAGTAGTCCCCATTGCACTGACAGAAGCAGTTGGAGAGGCAACCATATCTTTTAGGACAAGGAACAAGTCAGAGATTTCAGAAAAAAAGGTATTGGAAGTTACATAGAGTGAGCCTGAAATTCTAAGTGTCATTTCATAAAAACTTTGGAGAATGGTCACAAAAGATTCAACAGCAATCCAGTCTAAAACATCAGGAGTGTCATTACCCAAATCAGTACTAAATGCAGTTTCATTCTCCTCATAGGCTTCAAATACTTTCTCATTAGAAATAGCAGATTTCAGCATCAGGTAAGTGGAATTCCACCTAGTTGGAACATCCAGGTGCAGACCACACTTGGCTTCCACTCCTATCAAATCAGATAAATCTTTGAACTTTTGAAGCCTAGCAGGTGAGTTCCTAACATACTTAACAGCTTCCCTTACTCTCATTATAGAAGTGTCTGCATCTTTAAGACCATCTTGTACTGCTAAGTTCAAGATGTGTGCAATGCAACGCATATGAACATACTTTACTTTGACAGAAGAAGCACCCCAGGATATTAATTTTTTCTTAAAAAAACCAACAGCTGTATCATTACTACTAGCATTATCAACAGTCACAGTAAAAATACTTTTCAGACCCCAATCAAGTAAGCAATTCTCTAGGGCTTTAGCAAGGTACTCCCCCTTGTGAGAGGTGACAGGGACAAATGAAATAATTTTTTTATGGAGCTTCCACTGATCATCTATGAAGTGAGCAGTAATGCACATGTAATTTATCCTCTGAATAGAGGTCCATGTATCAGTAGTTATACTAACTCTCTGAGTGTGTTCCCTAAAATTCCTTTTCAGAGTCATTTTTTCATCAAGGTATATTTGATAAATGTCTCTAGCAATTGTCCATCTAGAAGGAATTTGAAACCTAGGACAGGCTGCAGCCACAAAATTCCTGAAACCCTGTCTGTCTACAAAGCTAAAAGGAAGCTCATCAATGATTAGCATTACACCTAGAGCTCTCCTAATAGCTTCTTGATCAAACACCCAAGTTCCTAGGACCCCAATATTTGCAGAGGGTTCACCTATCTGTGCAGGGACAGGCTGAAAGGTTAATAGGGCCTGTCTAGTGTCTTTAGCATGAGGGTTTTTCAGGCAACTAAGCATGTGATTTCTGATAGAGGAAGTTCCATGTTTCTTAGAGTGGCACCAGTATAT